GAGGTTCCTGAAGATTTTGGCATACTTAAAAAAATTGATGTGTGTGTGTGTTTTACATGTCCGCAATTTTTCAACCGATCAACCGATTTGAATGGTTACAAACATTCGATTGTTGGGAGATGGAGATGTGCTGATTAGTTTTTGGCAAAGGCAGGTCGACGGACATACGGAGCAAAGAGTGCAGAAAATAGAGATCGAGTTTTTGAAAGTACGGAGCATCCGATTTGAATGACACAAAAAATATTCAAATTGTAACGATTAAGAGAGGTGGTGATTAGTCTCTGGCACAGGTAGGTCCAGCCATTTCAAAGATACAAGGCTAAATGTACAAAAAAATGGCAGTTTTTTTGAAAACATTTAATATTCCTCGAACATTTCGTTACGGTACAGGAAGTTCTAGCAATTTGTCTTAAGGCACAATACTATACACCATTAGTTTTGATTTTATTTATACACACGCGATTACAAGTACAACTTTTTGCTTTATACGAGATGACAATTAAGTCCAATATAAATTAGTGGTGCATGGCATCGTGCTTTGAGGCAAATTGCTGGAATTCCCGTACCGAACTAAAATTTGAAAATCCGAATTGTGTTTGTTATGCAAAAAAAAAATTTTGAAAATTAAAAAAAATGAAAAAAAAAAAAAATCTTCTCAAAAATAATCGTTGGTCAACACAAGAATAAAGTTTTTTGAATCATTCAAATCGGATGCTCCGTTCTCTCAAAAACTCAATTTCTATTTTCTGCACTCTTTGCTCCGTAACTCCAAAACGGCTGGACCGACCTTTGCTAAACTCATCAATATGAGTCGAATGTTTTTTTAATCATTCAATCGGTTGTTTCGTGCGCCCTAAATCGTGGACGAAAAATTGTGTCCAAACATACACACACACACATACTTCCATTTTTTTAAGGCATGCCAAAATGTTCAAAAACCTTTAAAACGTTAAGATATGCAGAAATTTTTATTTTCGATTTAATTGCGATTACAACTTACCCTGCGGGAAGTTAATAAATAATTTTAACTTTGTAATTTTGTTTATATAATTGTTATAAATATTAGTCAATGTTACAGTATTTATAATAATCTATTGGAAAACATTTAATATTTTTCGTACGGGAAGTTCCAACAATTTGCCTTAAGGCACGATGCCATTTACCACTAGCTAAAATTATGACGCTTGGATTTTGAAATTTTGAAACAGTACGTTATTGAAAACAATTTTCGTAATTAACTTGTTTCGAATATCATACAAAGGTTTATCAAAATTGACAATTTTTTTTCGGCATTTAATTGCGAAAGCACATAAAGAATTTTGCAGTCATTTGCACTAATTATATGTATATAAATATACATATAATTAAAATATAAACTTGTTGAAAGTGGCATTTAGCCTTAGGCAAGTTGCATGAACTTCCCGAAAGGTGTAAGAATTAACTTCGTCAATCCAAATTGACATTTAGATATTTAGATAAAATTTTCAACTGTTTATTTCAAAAATAAAGTCGAATTTGCTTTCAATTATATAAATCTAAATATTACGATTTCTAATAGAATTTTCTCAAACACATTTAAATTAACTGTAACTATATTAATTATATTGCACAGACACGTGCTTGTATGCTTTAAAATTGCAGCTTATTATTTAAAATTTCAATGAATTGATAATGTTTGACTCATCACATTACAAAATCAACTTTTGACACAAATTTTGACTATAATATTTACTCAAACTTTGATTTTTAACATTGAACTATTTGCCGTAGGGCCGTAACATTTTAGTATGTTCTATAAGACTATGAATCTATCGTCAAAAAAGTTTCATAAAAATCGGCAATTTTTTTCTCTGCAACAATTTATCACAAGAAAACGGCCCGGTAGATTTTCACTTAAACTAATCAGTATCATTCCTAACCAATATCTTTCAAACAGTTTTTGATTTTTTAAGCTCGATTCAGAATTGAGAGCTAAAACGTGGACGATTTTTTCACTTTTATGTTATTTACAAAGAAAAGGCTAAGCCAATCGTCGCACAAAACTGAGAAAAGATAATCCACATCGAAATACATCAATTAACTTTTAAATTTTTGAAATCGGTCTAGCCGTTTTTGAGAAAACGTCTATGAAAGTTCTAACTTTGACAAACGTCAAAAAACGAAACTAATTTTTGAAATTTTTGACTGATTTTTAAAATTAAACGACTTTAGTATGATCTGTATATCTATGGTATCTACCGTCAAAAAAAACATCTGGTCTATCTTTACCAAAACTAATCAGGTCGATTCCCAACTAATATCTTTTCGAACGGTTTTTGAATTTTCAAAATTTCTAATTAAATTTTCTTTCATAAAAATAATAGTTTATACAAACTTCAGTATTCTAAATTAAATTAAGTTATTTAATTATATATTATATATTGCTATATAATTTCAGATGTGATTGGAATTTGCAAAGATTGCCCAGAAATTGTACCTGTTAAAACCAAAAATGGCAAAGAAGTAAGCAAGAGAGAATTAACATTGGTGGACGATAGCGGTGCTTGTGTGAGTATTACGAGTAACATAAATTAATTTTCAAATTGCTTTATGTGTTGATTATTTTGAATTTAGCCCATTGTAAGGAGCCGTAGGCATTTTATTATTAAAAAAACTAATGATGCTTGGCATCGTGCCTTAAGGCAAATTGCTGGAAATTCCCGTGACAAATATTTAAATTTTTATACTTTGAAATATTTTTGAAATGAACTTTTTTTTAAAACAATCGCTATACGTTAGCTGCGTGAAAACGAAATATAGAAGCGCGTGGGCGCCGCGTTGTAGTATAACGGATAGACATTGGTACGGGACCCATAGAAAAATAAACAAAATTTGTTCTTATTATTAAAATATCTGATAATTTGATGTGCATATGTCTAATGATCATTTTTGTTCAAATAGATTTTTTTCACTTCTATTTGGAATAAAGAAACGCTGGATGTATGAATTTAACTATTTATTTATTACGATGTTTTTATTTGCAATCTTGATAAGAAGAAAGCGGAATCTTCTTATACTAGTTGCACATAGAACATACATAGATGCAGCCAACCTATCAGTCATAACGCTCGTTGTTGACAGTTCACAACGAGCGCACTAAACTTAAATTATGAATTTGAATATAACAATTTTGTCCATTATTGGATCTTCGAAACCGCTAGACCTGCCTTCCCAAAAATTATCATCAATTCTTCATTT